GTATTATTGAGATTCTTAGAGAATCAGTTAAAAACGACCCAAAATCAAAAACCCAAGTTGTTAGCCATAAAGACCACACCGTGATAGAGAAGAAACTAACTGCTTACTTAAAATTAGGGATTTTTGGAATACGTTCTGAATCGATAACTCGTTTATAAAATATGTGTGAGCCGCTTGCTTGATTGATTCCGCTAGCTTACTATTTTGAGTCAGCAAGATCAGAATAAAAATATTTCTTACGAAACTAGCTTAAGTTTATACTTCTATATTAAAATGAGAGCCGGAGAACATGGCAATCATTAGGAAATCGTTAGTAAGACCTAACACAATTTCTCTTATAGCACTTGACTTGTTTGAAAGCAATGAGTTAAAGCAGTTTGCATATTAACGAGCCAAAGCCTTTGGAAAAGATCATAAAGATTTTGATCCCTAGTAAAGAGCAATATACTAGGATGTTCCATTCAATGAGTCTCGAGCGAAGCAGAGACAGGGAGCCCGGGAGTAATAATATAACAACACACTTACATACAGTTATACATGTGTCACATGTATACAAATAACAACATTAATTAGACATTGTTTTTGAAAATATGTTAATTAAAAAAACTAATTTAATTAAGACCAATAAAACGCATTATACATACAAAATACTCTTAAATTTTTTTAAACAACCATAGATAAATGTACACTGAGAAATATCCGATCATAGCCTACTTAATCTTGTATTTTAAGCGATGGTGTGTATATTGTGACATGATGAATTAACGTCACAGTTATAATACAAATCTAGCAGACAAAAGGGGAGACGGTATAATGTTTACTTACCATACCTTGTCCTATGCTTGCGTACGTACACCCATTCCTGCTATTAGCAGTACAGCCAATACACGACCAACACACATACGTATGAATAGCTAGGGCACTGGGATAGCAAGTATAGATGAGCCAGCAAGAAAGACACTCTCGCTTTTGTCTACTTACCATCATGACGTGCTTTTTTTAAGGGAATAGTATCGTTGGTGTGTTTTTGTGAGTGTAAAAGTCATTACAGAGTGTGCAACACAGAGCGGCAGCAGGAGGTGCAAGAAAAATCAACTGTTGAAGTCTGTGGCGCTGCGACAGCCTGTACGCATTTGCCATTTAGGACTACTGCGTCCAGTTGGTAACTACTGCTCATCGAATCTCCCAGTGTCCATCTCAACGGTAACAGCTGATCTATATGATTGAATCAACACGGTAGGCCTGCTTCCTTACATTCTGTCCCTGGCGCTTAAAGCATCGTACTGAGCAGCAACTGCTGAACCGACACCTATAGGACTGAGGGTTAACCCGATCAATTATTGGAGAGTCGGATTGTAGTGCCGTATGAAACCCTGGAGTATTTAATTTTCTGTAATAAGAATACAAGTGGCATTTGTGTACGAAAATGTAAGTGCCTTCAATTATTGTATGCTACTCCGGACATCACCCACCTCATCCCTTCAGTCCCTTGGTAATAACAATTGATATGCCGTGTCCTGCTGCTTATATCCAGACAAATATAGGGCTATACATATTAAATGGTATCTGACTAGTAGCTAAAGGCAATTGCTTGGGGTGGTGCTTCAGCGACCATATTATGTTCACGCCATGTGCTCCGGCAGGTAGATTCACTCACGCGTACAACCTGGCAATTTGCGAGTTAACTGTAAGAATTGGTTGTCTAGTACACATTATTTGTATGCTTTTCAAAATAATTTACAATTTTTACACTTGTTAACTTATTCATCCAACCATTTGATAAGAACTTTTACTTCATACCGTTGTCTCTTGCCCATATATAATAATAAATAAGTGCGTTACATTTGCCTGTAAATCATGTTGTGTGATTCTATGTAGACTCGTGTTTCTCTCTGTTTACAAGCAGAGATTTACAAGGTGAAAAATAAGAAAGTGGTGTATATAATATATTCAGTTGAGAAACGGTTCTAGTAGAAAATAAAAGGCTGATGTGAGTTTTGTGCGTGTGAAATTCGGTACAGTGTGTGCAACACACAACAACAAAAGAAGGTGCAAGACTGACCACCTGTTGACATCTGCGGTTGCTGCGATATCCTGTGCGCGTTTGCCGCCCAAGACTACTACGTCCAGGTGTTAACTAATGCCCCTTGGATCTCTTGACGACAAATTTGACTGCGCCAACCGGTCTGTACACTTGTATCAACACGGTAGGCCTGCTTCCTCACATTCTATCAATGTTGCCTAGAATATCATACCAAGTAACAACTGTTGAATCGACACCCACAGGACGTTGTAGTGTATGCAGGATGATATGAAAAAAGTCTTAATGAAAGCACGTTTGAATAATTGATCTACGTTGACCCAAAAGTTTTTTATGGCCATTTTTCAGAAAGACGTTTTTTCAGTTTTTTCAAAGTTTCTTAAAAAGTATACCATCGATCTTAATGGAACTTTGTATGCATATCTAGGCTAATAAAACGCATATTCTATCAAAGTCTCAAGTTCTTCAATGTAATGGAACGAAAGTGATAGAATTTCAAGAAAAAGGCCCAAAAAAGTGGTTCTTAGAACGAAGTTCTTCATCGTGGGTTAGGATGGAATATATACTTCCCATGTATTTCCAGTGTATAAGGACGGTCGAGAACGGGGATCCATTAGAAAGAAGGCGTAAGAAAGACAGCTAGAGTGCAAACAGTTGCTCTGTCAGGACAACGAATTTGTGTGAGAGCGCTTATTGATTCTTGCTCTTAATAGTTTTTAGCTTCCGAGGCACTCGCTTAATTATTGAACTTACGTCTAAAAAAGGTAAATTTTTTGTTGTTAGGTGTTAGAGGTCAAGTGCTGGCTATCGCTAAGCACTCGGTTCACTTTCAAATTAAACCCCACTTCTACTCTGATTTTACGCATGAAGTAAATGGTTTTTTAGTTGATAAAGTATCGTCTCATCAACTATTTTCATCGTGTGGAACTTCAAATCTTGAACATTTAAGGGGCTTACTGATCCTAATTAATATCACATAAGTATAAACGTGTTCCTATTAACGTAAGCCTATAGAAAAATATAGGCTTTAGTCAATCACCATACGACGCAGGGATTGTCTGGTCACTGCACATGATCCGTGTACTATAGTATAGTAAGCAAGCGCACCTACTACATACGTATATATTAAACGTGCAGAGTCGAAGAAAAGCTACAAGCTCACTCAAGAGTGCGCTTCCATCTTTCTGGCTAGTTAAGCGTTGCTCGTTGCTCCTCTGTGCTCGTGCCACTGTAAGTGTTAATATTAGAAAGATAAGTTATTCTAATCAAGATAATGGCTCACATTACTGTTTAATTTGTGTAAAAAAATAATAATTTATTATTAAAGCTGGTTCTAAGTTATTTAAAACCAATGAGCAGAGCTTGTATTTTATTTTGAAGTTTGTGTCCCGAGTGATTGCTGAGTTCGATTGCGCCATCAACTTTCCGCTTCCCTCCGTACGGTCCCAGCAAGCTTTTTCGTAAGCTCATCCATAGCCATCTCATTGAATATCAAACTTTTAGACGTAAGTTTTTGGAATTGATAAACCTTGTGTCCCCGTGGCATCGTGTAGCACCAATAGGTAGATACACGTAAAATCATTCTATAGTGTTGTGTAGCACCAGCAGGCACACGGACTTAATAGAATCTTGCAGTGTTGAGCAGCACTAACAGGTTGACTGACTTGATGCTACTAATTTATCTCTTGAACTTATCATGGTAAAAGAGGGAAGCAGCGAGCTTTGCTTGTGTGTGTGACAGCGAAAAAGGAGTACCACATAAGACAATATAATGTTCGCATCATTGCTTATCGCAAAAACAAAAAAAAAGAGGAAGCAAAATGGCCGTATGTATCAAGACACACGTGCCTTTCCGAATACTTGCGTTGCATGAATAGAATATAGAACTTGATGTAAATGTTTCCTTAGTTAATGCGAGTAATTAAATTAATCGATATTTTCCATCCAGTTCGAGATTGCCAAAGAAACTCGATTTTTTCAGTTAAAACTACAGATTTGTAGAAAAATTGTCACACGTAGAAATAAAAAAAAAGTGCCACCTCGATCAGGATTTGAACCTGAAACTTTTTTCTTGCCAGGGAAGTGCGTTACCAATTTTGCCATCGAGGTCTCGGCAACTCCTCTCCTTAATTGCTACATTTTATAGTTTTCCGGCGATTTTTCAGTCAACGCCTGCTTATATGGTATAAAAGAATATTAGAAATTAATCTAATTTTATTGACGGGTAAGTATTAATGCGAGTAATTCAATTTATCGACATTTCCCGTCCAGTTCAAGATTACCAGGCAACTCGATTTTTTTAGTTAAAACTACAGATTTGTAGAAAAATTGTCATTCGTAGCAATTGAAAAAAAGTGCCACCTCAACCAGGATTCGCCGAGACTTTGATGGCGAAATTGGTAACGCGCTTTCCCAGCAAGAAAATAGTTCCAGGTTCAAATCCTGGTCCAGGTGGCACTTTTTTTCAACTGCTATGTACGACAATTTTTTTAAAAACCTGTAGTTTTAATTGAAAAAATTGAGTTGCCTTGGCAATCTCGAACTGGATGGGCAATGTCGATAAATTCAATTGCTCGCATTAATACTTAGCCATCCATAAAATTATATTAATTTCTAATATTCTTGTGTACCGTATTACCTAAGTTAAGTTAAGCCATAAAACATTTCATTTGATTATAAACACGAGCTAATAAGCTGTGATAACATTTAATTAGATGATTTGTTTCATTGTGTTAAGAATTTTGATAATACTTTTTTACGACAAATTCATACAATATACATCCAAAAAATCAAGAACTTACACTTACATTTCTTTTTTTTCTAATACATTTCTGTCTACATAATAATTTATAATTAAAAAATTTTACAAACCAGCACAAACTGGTCACAAAAGTACATTAATTATTAACTTTATTAGTAAATAATGATAATAAACACTATTTGGTAAAAAATTAACACGATTTGTTACAAGACACTATAAAAAAGTATTTATTCCACAGTTATTCAAGATTTCACTGTTAAGTCATTTACAATAATTTAATAGCACAATAATAAAATAAGCATTTTCTTCAACAATCACACTGCTGCCATGCTAATTCTTTAAGAACTATCAGTAAGATTTATCACAATAATAAAAACGCCTTCATTGTTACTTAAGATTTGCGAACATCACTAGAAGCTCTTATCATTTACTGATTGGTGTAGCTTTATCAGATCCCACATATTAATACAAAAAGAAATCATGATGTCTCTCATGCAACTATAACAATATGTAATATAACAAAATGTATTACTTTATTTTTTATACATGGATGTGATTCCACTGTTTCCGGGTGCGACGTAGTCACCAATCATTAGATTTGGATTAATCGAATACTGAGTCGAACTTCCGAAAACAAGTGATTGCTAAAACATATAACTAATCAATAAACATTGAAGAAGAGAATAGCATCATCAGAAATAATATATAACAATAAACAATAAAGTCAAAATAATTTTACATTCACACAAAGAAATAAAGAATATATCTTTATGGTAAGTTATAAGCATAATCGTACGTAATAAAACCAACTAATTTAACTTTATCTTACAGCAGCTCTAAGATCACCTTAATAAAGATCTTATAAATTATTATTTATTAATGTTTATATTACCCAACCTGGGCTGCTGATGTTACGAATTGAAAGACTTACTATTATAAAAACAGTATTTCGTTCAAACATGTATCACCAATCAATAACAAAAAGATAATGCATAGAAATCATCAAAAAATATTTATATTATACCTATGATAGGTATGCACTTATAACCATCGACAGGATTAGCACTATTTATATCTACATTTTAAACCTACTAATAGGTGTTCAAGTCATGAGTATATTCGGCAGTGCCACACTTCTAACTGGAGAACAATAGCAGCGAATGCTGTGACACGAAAGTAATTTAAATAATGCTAAAAAAAAAAAAAAAAAGAAAAAAAAAAACATGTAATATCTTCCTAATCTATTTATTTAAACTAACTAACGATTTTTTCTAGAGGGAAACGGTAACAAATACGTAGTTCAAAATACCAAATTGTTCGGGTTATAAAGAACTAGGTAATATTTTTTATTTAAGTATCATTAGTCGATTGGTCCAGATAAACAAATTTACTCTCTCACTCTCTCTCTTTCTCTCTCTCTCTCTCATGCACATATTTAATTGTACAGGGCTGGTTTTTATTGATTTGTTGGAAAATATTCGGAATAAAATGATGAGTTCTTACGATTGATACACATTACAAAAAATTTATTTCCATCTGGTAAACTGAATCCATCAATGAAAATAATAAAATTTATTTAAAACGACATTAATGTAAGTAAGTTTAACAAAACACTAATTCACGTATCTCTTGTATAACAGTGCTGAATCTACAAGATACGGTATTATCTCATCTTTAGGGAGACTCACGGATATATCTACCAGTCTAGGACTACGGTAATCGCTGATGGAATAGCTAACTCGCTATCAATAAAATTTTTGGTTGTGCGTAAATCAAATGAAGATGAGAAAAACTGACATTGTCTGAGAACTTTCTCTTCGATATAAATACTAACTTACCTCACTGATTCCATCTTTTTTGAGATACCCTGTACCATGAGATTTCATGTACCATGAAATCATGTGGCAAGTTAGTGTATAAAAAAACAGCATCTTGTAAAATTCATAGGCATTTTTTGTAACTACAGAATTTTAGTGTGCATATTAATTTATAATGATTTTTTAAATAAGGAGATTTAGGAATATTGCTAGTGATCATTTTAGATAAGACTTAGTCAAGTTTATAGAGAGGGAAATCATTACTTGAAGCTTCAATTCTGGTTAAGAAATTGTCTCTACATTCCTTTTTTTACTTGCTGAAAAAAAGGTATTGTACATTAACATACTTAAAGTACTCATGAATTTTTCAATATTGCTTACTAGCCGAATCTTCAAGAAATACTGTTGCGGACAGAACCACTGTTCTTGTGTAAGAGGTAAGAGTGCTACAAAAGTGGGTAACCGACTGGGGCTATGCGGGTGACCATATGAGGTCGGTAATTCTAACACGGTGGCAGAGTGCCGATTTGGGGCGGAGCTGTGTCTCCGCTTGCCTTCACACTCAAATTGATGACCATGAGATCCCGCTCCTTAGTAAATTGCAAATGTGGATCAAACTTTCCGGGGAGTTAGACTATGTAGTTCACCTTTGACCTTCAGGTAAAAGGCGTTCTAACCCGGAGGATACGTGGATGAAGGATGTCGAGGACGAAACGGTTTCAGTTGGTCACCGACCGATTGCGAAAACATTGTCAGCGCAGTCCTTGGCGTTATCCGTAAACTATGTCGCAAAAATGTATGTGTACCTTTACGTAAACCAGACGTCAACATTCTGTGGGCACAGGTCGTCTAACTCTAGTGCGTAGGCAAGAGTAGTGGGGTAGGGGAAGGGCAGCGAAGGGAGACTGTCAAACGCGTGCAGGGATTAGTAGCCTTGGGAAAGCGATCGTCGTAGGTAAGTCCTAGCGTTCGGCCATTTTATCAAGATAAATAAATAAATCTTAATTTAATACAAATACACTACTTGTTTTTGATGTATTCCCTCGCCAATGTGGTAAACGAATTCCGTTGTCAACAAATACCGAATCTAATTATCTAACATCGTTCTTACGGGTGAAAGCGATTATTCAGCTTTTGTTGTACAAATTTCGAGGCTAGAGATTTATTTAGATGAAAAAAAAAGTTTGAAACAATAGCTTAATTCCTAAGGAAGACTCTTATATAAAAAATATGCACCTTATCAGGAATTTAGAAAAAAAAATCAGTGCAAACGTAAACAAAGGTCTTATGATAAGTGTATGGTAGAGAACCGAGCATCGTCTGCTGCCAGATATTCTTTTTACACGCAGCGAGACGTCTTTACAAAGTCACTTCTTTATTTTTTTCAAAATTTTTCACTAAACAAGACATAAAAGAATATTTTAACATTAAAAAAAAAGTACTTCATAAACAAGATGGACAAAAAAATGTATATTTTTTTTTTCAAGGATAAAGATTTTTTTTTTCGCTTTACCGCTTTGCCTTTAATAATTAATCAGATGAAGTTAATCAAGTATTTTCATCAATTTTAACTTTTTTTATATTTAAGGTATTCAAGCAATGTTTTACAACTAACGAAAGAATTTACATTATAAACAACACGTAAGATAGATATTCTAATAATTTTCAAAAAAGTAAACTTAGCACTCACGACATTAAAAACAAGATAATTAGCGAAAACGAAAGGATATCTTTATTTGTCCGAATTTTCTCGTTCGAGAGGACTTGAAACAACATTTTAGAACTAATAACTATGTAATCCATAAACAACATGTACAGTAAGTGTATAAGGTTTTTTTAAGGGTACAGTTTACCACATTTCCGTAAATTAATCAGTTGGCATTAATCGAGTATTTTCGTCAATTTTTCCGAAATTTATCATTTTGGACGTTTCCAAACAATATAACACAATTTAACAAAGTATGTACATTATAAATAATACGTAAAAAATGGTATTTTAATAAATTTCAAAAGGGTACACTCAACCCTTACGAAATAAATAATAAGTCAATTTGCGAAACTAAAGGGATTTATTCATTTTTCCGAATTTTCTCGCTAAAAAGTATTCAAAATAATGTTTCAGGACGAAATAAAGAATACACTGCATAAACAAAATGTGCAAAAAAGACATAATTTTTTTTAAGGTATCCTTTGCCACCTTTTAATAATTAAGTTATTAGTTGGAATACTTTGCACAATAATTTGTTGATAGATAATGTGCGCATTTCTAAACTTATATTTACCAAAGATAATTAGAAAATTTTCAGAGGCATACACAATGGTGATTAACAATAATAAATTGGTTACTTAGCGAAAATAAAATAATACCTAATTTTTTTGTATTTTTTGGTACTAAAAACTCCAAACAAATATTTAAATAATAAAAAGAATACTTATTTTCTCAATTATATGTAAAAAGTATAGTTTGAAGTTTTTTAGACTGTTACAGAAAACTGTTTTACAGTAAAAAGTTTTTTAGTTAGCGGACATCAAGTATTTCCGTTAGTGTCTTCAATTTTTCTCTCTGTTCAGAACTACAATAAATATATAACTAATAAACAAAATATTTCTATTCCTACATTTACGTACAAAAGATGATTTTGAAGTTTTCTAAAGGACGTACAATGATGTTGTGGAGGAAATAGTTTGTTAGTTAGCGCATGTCAAGTAGTTTCGTAAGTTTTTAAATATTTTTCACATTCAAGAACTACAAACAGTATTTTACTAACAAATAGTATGGCGTACTTTATTACACACAATGGTATATTTCCGAAAATATGTGGAGCGGATGATTATTAAATACAAAGAAAAGTACAAATGTCAGTTTTGCAATTGTGACATCCCATGTAATATACTTTACATTGTGTTTTGAAATAATAAAAACTAGAAGCTCGACGATCTCCAAACATCGAGCTGTACACCTGTTTCTGCTATCGCGTGACGTATAACTTACTTCTTTTGAAATAAGCTACCATCGCAAAACTGGAATTACGCGTGCAACCTCCGAACAATTTTATAAAGCGCTTATCTTACAACATCAACTCGTACTAGTACATCCAAGAATGTAAATAATCAAAATAATCAACATTTTCAATATTCTTTACTGCGTATGTCTACAAGAAATAGTATACACAATTTTAACAGCAACTTGTACTTAGTATAAAATCCAAGAGATCAGCAGCTTTAACTGAATATTTTTCATTTCAGAAATATTTTAATTACTAAATTATATGAAACTACTACACACATAAAATTCGGTGAAACCTTACACCACAATGCCGAGTCAACAATTTCAAAGAAAAGTATACTGTAAGTAAGAGCAAATAAGGCCTTTGGGCCAACGGCTGGTTCCTACCAAAAAAAAATTAAATTCATATGTTTTGTCGAACGAATCAACGAGTTGCGCCCTTCACTTATAGAAGTTCAAACGTAACACAATAAATACTTTGTTAGATAGTTTCAGATTTTTCTTTCTTAAAAGACTTTTAACAATTTGTTTGTATGACATCAACTTTATTTGTTTGAAGCAATAAATTTTAGGAAATCTAATTATTACTGTTTACGAATTAGTTATTTCATTAAAAAATGTTTGAAAAAATAAAATCATAATGTAATAACAGATAATGATTCTCAATTCATAGTTAAATCGTACATAAATAATTTGCTAGCTTTGATACATGTTTAAAATGTCACTATAAGAATTTTAAAGCATTCTTTCCATTCTTGCAATAAATATACTGTTTATTAGCAAGACATTACTTTTAGGTTAAAATTTATCTACTTCTTTT